CAAAATAACGGAAAAATTTATTCTACTTTCACTGCCAAAATCACTTTAGATGGTCTCCACCTTCTTAGATTATAACATTTTTTAATGGGAGGCTGTCCTAACCCCCAACCACCAAGCCCCTAACCCCCCAAGTTTTTGTAAAATTTAATTAATCAAATCATTGTTATTTATTGCTAAATCAACTTTTACTATTGTGTTTCAGCTTTTTTATAATGAAAAATATATAAAGTATTTATTAGATGAGGAAAGACCAGAGACAAATGGTAATTATAAATCAAGAAATGACTAGATAATAGTTATCTCCATGACAACGATACTAGTGGTAGAGTAATAATAAGACAACAATATCCCTCAAAGTCCATGGTTCACCATTATCAGGTGTCAATAGCATCTTGGTCTCAGAAGCGGGAATATTTTTTAGCTAAACTAATCGGTTATATTCACAGCTCACCGTCAAAATTAGAGCCTTTAATGCACCCTATCAAAAATCAGAAAAATTTAAAAATTCTTAGTAGGAGTTCTTGTTCTTGAAAATGTGTTCACAATTCTGGACAGGTTTTCACAAAGTTTGGGTAATATTATTCGGTATTGCCCCAAAAAGTTCAAAAGAAGTGATTGTTACTTTACTGCTAAATATTTCTATTCAAAATCAAAGATACCAGTAGGTGTATATTACCTTGCCTGGCAAGCTATCTTTAAGATAAAAGATCTTTTTGGCAAGCATGTCAGCCTATTTGAGCCTATTTTTCGAGGCTACACAAAAGAGGTAATTGAGCTGAGGCATTAGACTATTTTCTGATTTGTTTAAAATAAGAACAGATCTCTTTTATATTTTCATATATTTTTATATATATTTATATTGACATCCCCATTCCATTACTTTATAAATATAATAATATGCTGACATTGCATGTTTTCTTTAAAGGTATATTGTCAACTAAATATCTGATTTATAAGCTGATCACTAAAGCTCAATTTTTAGGGACAATAATTAAAAAATTAGCTCTATCAGTTGAAAAAAAAAACAAATATTAGACACTAATACTCCTTTATTTGTAGACCTAAATTCTGAAAAATAATAAGTTACATGAAAATACTGCTGAAATTGAGCTCTGCTGGTGAAATATGTATTTAGATGACAATAAACCTTTAACAGCTGATAGAAATCAGCTTTTGTGTTTCAAAATCAAAAATGCCCATATATGTATATTCAAAGAAAAGAATTGTTGACTTTGGTCCCAAGTTTTTTCTTATCCTTGATAACTTACAAGTTGTCTTGATTATCCAGGCTTATCATGATAACATTCAACTGTTATCATTTTGAGGTCGACGTCCCTTTAAATTTGTACTATACACAAATTATAATCAAAAACTGTGATAATGTTTTAAAGGAGGCATCCCAGATAAAAATAGTTGCCAACACAAACAATAGAATAGGAAAGAAAATGTACCCTCGTAATTTTCAAAATGTACAGAAAAATTAACTTAAAAAATGGAACCCTGTTTGATGCAAAATTGTATAACATTTTGATATTTTATACATTGTTAAAATATTCTGAAAAAATGGATGAACAGAAAAAGTCTAAATCTCATCTGTCTGGGATGACTTTTTTAATGTATGTAATCAAACAGAGTATGTTTTAAAAATTGTTATGATTTTATATTATTGTATATATCGAAAATACATTGTGTAAGCGTAATTGCCATTTAGTAAAAAATTAGGATTAGCTTAAGTTCCATTTTCTTTCACTTTTTCCAATATTATTTCCATTAATTTATCAATTATAACATTTCTTTTTTTGATTTATAATCCTAATATTTCTTTGTTTTATTATTTAAATTATTTTGATTTATAATACTAAATAAAATTTCTTTGTTTTATTATTTAAATTATTTTGATTTAAAATATTAAATTATGATTTTGATTTATAATATTTAATTTTTATTAATTATTCAGATTTATGTAGTAAAATATAATAAAATATGACTATTATTTTCATTGGTACCAATAAGAAATTAGTCATTTAAAGGGACTTTCCGCTTTTTTTTGTAGGTTTAAAAAAGATTTGAACTAAATATTTTAAAACAAATTCAGTTTGATCAAGTAGATATCATAGATATAAATAACATACTTTAAAAATATATTCAGGTAATGATAATGAAAATTTTTGACAAAAAAAGCGGAATGTCCCTTTAATGTTGAAACATAATGGATCAATTTAGATTGGAGATTTTTATTAGCAATAATTAAAGTCGCAATGATCTATGGCTTAACAATTTATTATTTGATTCACATTTCATAAATATTCTGTAGCAATTTTATTAAAAATATATGTTACGGATGTAGCCTTTATATCCAATCTCTTAATGATATTATTTACATGTTAAAGAAGCAATTGCAATGTGTTACCGCTTAAATTGAACCCTGAATCTTTAAACAAGTTGGCAAGTGAGTCACTGTAAAGTAAATTTGGATGAAATTGCTATACATAAAACTTGAAAACAGCTTTGCTGGCTTAGAGGTATGCTAAAGATTTTACGATCCAAGCATAAGTGGAAATAGGACACTAAAGTCAGAATTTTAAACTTGATTTCCGTTTGTTAGGGTAGCGACTGACATGGAGCATTTCTTTCAATGAAAGAGTATTACAAATACACAATATGAAACAGTAATGTATGAAAAGATCAATGATCAATTTTTCGGAACGTTTCGGACTATCGATGTCTTATCACGTGATATATACACAATATGTCACATGACCAATTTATTTGTTAAAATGGCGGCCTTCACTGGAGGATGTTTTCCTCTGTTTTTCTTGTGCGTTTTTGCCTCCTTGTCAGCACTGACATGGGGCAAAGGTATGCTTTTTCCGAGGGATTCGGAGAGTCGACAAATCCGGAATTTAGATGGAATGTGGAATTTTCGTCTTGACACTTCCAGCAACAGAAATGCCAGCTTTGAACAGAAGTGGTTTGCAAGAGAATTATATAAGGTAAAGCTGTTGTTATTAGTAGAGTATTATAGCAATGGTCAAATGCATGCCAATTATCAAAATGAGTAAAATAATGCTGCTGTCCACCAGGCGAAATTATCTTCATTGCACACTGCTTTGTGTCACCCATGTACTTGTTTTTTGACATGTACAGTTCTGAGTTGCTCCTCTTCCTTTCATTTCCTAGACAAAATAAACTTTTCTTGATTTTGTTTTGATATCAGTTGATTTTCTTTATTTGCCAGTCATGTTCAACTGAAGGTTTAAAATGGTACTTGTCGTAATTTGTATGGTTTACCAGTTTTTGTGCATTTTCTTGATTTTTACACATAATCATGTCAATGAGAAAACCGACAAAGAATTAAGATTTTTTTCTGATGATCTGACCCTGTTTGAAAAGCTCTTGAATCTGCATAAATAATCTACTAATACTATTATTTATCAATATTAAATGATTATAGAGTAGGCTACAGATAGGTATTTTGTATATTCAGGCATTGGCCTAGATAATAGTGATAAATTGAAGATAAAATTGATTATTATCATTCATATGTCTATCTATTATCTAAAATAGGACACTTAAAAACTTTTTAAAAAATATTTTTTGAAATAACTCTTCATACACAAACAATGTGTTTAAAGAATCACATATTACGATAAAAGCTTCCATATTATGAATCAGCACTGTACACTTATTTATTAAGGACTGTTTTTAATATTTGTTATATACCTCCAACTGACACAGAGTTTATAATGTTGTGACACATATTGCATGGAAATGCTTAGTCAAAATCGTAGACGTACGCAATGCTACTGTCTACTGATCCTTTAACACCATGTAAATCGATTTACAGTCTACACAGTGTAGACAAGATTTATGTTCAAATTTTGAACTTACTGTGCATTGAAATCTATCAAATATACACTTATACAAATATCCACACTAAGTCCATTAATTTCAACACCTAGTTACTTTCATTTATCCCAAACTTTATATCAATCGTTGAAGAGTGAAAATTATGAAATTTTCTCAGTCATTTGATTGGCTGTTAGGTTGTCATGATCAAGGTCATGAACTCTCAAACTGTCTGTACAAAATTTGTCTAAACCTAGTTCAAGTTTCTATCCACACCAAAATTCTATCATCTAATTTTTTATTTGTAGTCAGGAACTGTAATACCTATGCCAGTACCATCCAGTTATAATGATATCTATGATGATAAAACTATTAGAAATTTTGTGGGTTGGGCCTGGTATGATAGACAGTTTTACGTTCCAGCTGATTGGAAGAATAAAAGAATTGTATTGAGATTTGACAGCGCTCATTACTATTCCATTGTGGTAAGCGGCTAGAAATTTTGTGGGTTGGGTCTAATTTGAAAGACGATTTTATGTAGCAGCTGATTTGTGGTGGCTCAGAGAGTTTGGTGCTTGTTTGCTAACTTGAAGTTCCAGGGTGTAAATCCTGCATCATAGAGCAAGATAAGATCGTTGGATTTTTCAACCCAGTTTCCCCTGTCAGTGATGCTGGTAAAAGTGGCTAACATTAGAATGGGGCAATATATCGAGGCCTTGTGTGCTACAGGCTGTACGCGTTAAAGATCCCTTCACAGTTGGAAATCGAAAAAGAGCAGGCTAATGCAGCTGTTCTTATGTGTTACTAACAACTCCAGAACACATGATATGACTTTACAACTGAGTTTTTCCATTTGGTATCCCTTTTAAAAAATCTACATGTCATTAAAAAAATTTGTTGTTTCTATTCCATGAAATGTGTTTGGGTTGATTTCAGTATGTGAATGCAAAAGAAGTAATGAGACATGATGGAGGTCATCTTCCATTTGAAGCAGACATTAATTCCTATGTGAATTTTGATGGTCCAAATACTGTGACTCTAGCTTTAAACAATACTCTAATGGAACATACTCTACCACCAGGATCACTAACATTTGAACGTGATACCAATAGGTTTGTTAGCTTTATTTGTCTGTTCTGGATGTTTTGTTTTTTCTATGGGTGCTTCTACTTGCCTTGAACGTTTTTGGATTACTCAACCTACTTTCCTACTCAGAGGGGCTGACATAGAAAAGGTGTCTAGTAGTTCAGAAAGGACAATAAAACAATGACCTATGTGCTACAGGCTGTGCACGTTAAAGATTGATTTGGAAATCGAGAAAAAAGAAGGCTTATGCTGCCGTTCTGGCAAAATTTCCCCAGTGTACACTGCTTGGTATACCCCTTATCATTTTTTGGTTAAAAATTCACAGAAAGTGACTTTGAGTAGAATTACTATAGATCATGGGTGGCAATTATAGACAAAAAAAACATGATTTAGATCTGAATTTCAGTCAGATTGTCAGTTCATATTCCATTTTTAGACCACACCCCCAAATTGTAACATGGGTACTCTTAGCTACAGAGAACTGTGCTTTCCACGTTGTCAGAATGAATTTATATGTCAACTTAGCTAGATCAAGCAAAGCAAGCAACAAACTTGATTAAGATTTTCACCACAATCTTCTGGTCCCTTTTATTAAAGTTAAACTATATTTGTAGATATCCCTCAGGTTATTTTGTACAGAATGTTCAGATGGATTTCTTTAACTATGCTGGTATACATCGTCATGTTCGTATATATTCTACTCCTAAAACATATATAGATGATATTACTATAACAACTGATATCAACAAAACAGCAGGTAGGCTTTTAACTCCTCTCTGTCTTTATTTCTTCTTTAGTCTGATAAGATGTTTTGGAGGAAAAAATTCAAATATGATATTTTGCAATTGCAATGGGCTATTAGATTTGATAATCAAAATACTAATAATATAATCATCTTCACGGTGTCAAGGACTAAGTCTTATACCTTGACTGCAATAGCCTCTATTCTTGTATCACAGAATGTAGTGATTTGATTGGATTGTATGCTAATAAATACGACCAATTAGAGCACATGACTGAAAGACTGTAAACTGTAAGTTGACAAACTTCTGTCAAGAATTCTGATTGATTGCATTTGTAAATGTACATTCCAATCAATATGCATATAAAAACTTCTGTGATACAAGAATAGTGACTATTGCAGTCAAGGTATAAGACACAGTTTGTAATAGCTTGAAATTGTGAAGATGAAAATAAATGTGAAATTTTCTCTTACAAATCTTTCTGAACAAGGTCTGGTAATTTTGTAGGTATTGTTAACTATAAGATAGTACCAGGAGGTAATGCAGCATTTGTTATGGTAACCGTGGAAATCGTAGATAAAGATGGAAAAGTTGTAGGAAGTAAACAAGCTTTAGATGGCAGTATCAGTATTGATAATGCTCACTTCTGGTGGCCATATACCATGAATGTCACTGATACTGCTTATTTATATACTATGAAGGTAGGGATATTGAATCTGTTTGGTTGGTCAGTATGTCCGTCTGTCTTTAATTGCAATATACATGGAGAAAATTTTGTGAAATTGTTTATTAACGCTAAGGATAAACCTCTATAAAAAAAGAAAAATCATGTAATGGCTGGTGTTTGTCAAAATTTTCTTAATCTTTTCTGTAGAACATGCATTAAGCCAGAGTTTTTAAAAAAAAATGTATAACTTAAGGTCAAAGTCATGCTTTCTGTTCTCCCTAGTGTCCTAATTTAAACTTTTTGTGAGTATACCCCTTATTCTAGGATCTGACAACCTTTACTTTGAAAGCAATTTTACATGTTTAAAATCGAAATATTGTAATACTATTCCTTCACCTTACTTCATTGCTATGGTAACTTCAAATTATTGATGTTATGTTTTTTGTATTTTTGCAGGTGACGCTGGGTAATCCATCATCAGCAGATAAAGATGTATATAGAATACCGTTTGGTATTAGAACTGTTAAAATGACTACCAATCAATGGTTAATTAACAATCAACCATTTTACTGTCATGGTGTCAATAAACACGAAGATGCTGATGTAAGTATAAGCAAATACATTTGTGGAAATCCAGAGATATTTATAACTATAAAGATATCCTGGACCATTTTATTTGAGATATTTTGGGGGTAGTGTGGACAAAATCTGCATAGTTTTTTTTCTATTTATAAGCCTATCTGTTTTATATTTAAAATGAAATAAACTTATGGTGTTTATGTTTGGAAGCCAGCAGAGAGTTTAAGCCGTCATGCCTATGCATGTGCTTTTGTAACATTACTTAACTGCAATATTACAACCTAAAATTGCTAATATATGCCGTAACTTCAGTATATGTGTAACTTTAATCTAAGATTCCATATACGCGTCATGCAGACCCGTCATGCGTCATCCATCATGCGTTAAAAATCAAAATGGTTGGTTTAAGAGGGTATGATACCATGTATGCAGAAGCGGTATCCGTCAAATGGTCTCTGTTATCGCCTGGTGTAGCGATGTTTGACGCATCCGGATGCTTTTCCGCGTGGAGATCTGCCAAATGTGATGTATTTTGTGGGGATTCCCTGTCTTGGTCTTGATGAAATTACTTCCCTGGTCCTGCAGTGTTTCTGTAGATCCTCTTCTACAAAAAACAATACTTGAGCAAACTGCTCTCTGTTTATATTGTTTAAATTTCTCCCCATCTAATTGTAATTGACCAAGTGATGGTATGTTCCAATGTTGGATGGATGTTGTGGAGCCAATAGCGATGCTTCCTTTTTTTCTTCTTCTTCTTCATTTTTAACCATTCCATAGCAAGCCTGGCAATAAATTCTTCATCTTGCTCCAGCATAAATTTATGCACCAAAGCATCCATCTGTCTAGAAGTCTGTGCGTCAAAAGAAAGATAACGCATACATTTAACGCACATATGGAATCATATTTGACGCATGACGGATATATGGAATCTTAGCTTTATATTTTATTTATAGAATATCAATTAGTATTAAACCTTACCTTAAAGGTGAATAATATTTTTATCAAAATTGTCATCAAAATTTCCTTTTGTTTGTAGATTCGAGGAAAAGGACTAGACTATGCTCTAATAGCTAGAGATTTTGCTATGTTAAAATGGTTAGGAGCTAATTGTTTTAGAACATCACATTATCCGTATGCTGAAGAGATTCTAGATGAAGCTGATAGACAGGGTATTGTTATTATTGATGAAAGCCCTGGTGTTGGTATCACTCAGTAAGTTTTAACATATTAGATTAAAGCTACCATGTTTTTATAAGGAATGTCTCCTCCGCTTGTGTTTTCTGTTTTCAAGGCCATCTATCCATTTATTTATGTTTTATGTTAAAGATTCCTCAACTCTTGGAAATTCATTAGGCTAATGCGGCAGTCCTGGTATTCCATATTGTACACTGCATGGCATTGTCAGTCCACACAAGCCAAAACAGGTGCATAAGAAACTATTTAATATTTGCATAAATTATTACACTAAGATCAAAGAATTCATAAAAGAATGTCAGATTTGAATTAATGAGGTAACTCAAGAAAAAAATGAAAAAAACTGAATTTTATCAGTTTTAACGGATCCTTGTGTTTCCCTTTTTTCAGACCAGCTAATTTTAAGAATGAGTCTTTAGCCCACCACAAAGAAGTTATGGAAGAGTTAGTAAGAAGAGATAAAAATAGACCAGCTGTCATGGTGTGGTCAGTAGCCAATGAACCCAAAAGTCAATTTCCAGAAGCTGGACCATATTTCAAGTAAGTATCTTACATCTCAGCAATTGCTAAAGGCAGGCACACACTTTTTAGCACGGATAATATCAACATCGAAAAATCATACACTGTGTCTTGTCTACTACTTACGACAAAAACAGGAGTGATTAGAACTTATCTGGCATTCTTGATTGAAAAAACATTCCAACGTGCGTTGTCGGCAAGTGTGCAGTTGTTCCTGATAATTTGTCTTGACCTAATCTAAAGATCTAGATTACAGTACTGGATCTGGGTATATACATGTATCATTGTGGCGTACGTTTATGTCTTCATGAAATCATAAAAATTATTTGCACATATTGTACTTTGTTTGTTCAAGGGGTGTGATAGAACATACTAGAAGTTTAGATTCAACTAGACCTGTAACGTTTGTGTGTAATAACCATGATTTTAACAATGAACATGCTGTAAGTTTACTTTTATAGGGGGGGTTGATTTGAGTCTTGAAATTATGTAAATAGTCTTCAGAAGTACTAGAAATTTAAGACAATCGTATAATTCCTTTAAAAATATCTCAAACTAGGAATTTTACTCACTTTTGCTATATATGTCTTTTCTATATATCACAGAGTATCTTAAATTTATGAGTCATCATTTTAACATTCAAAAACAGATAATTCTAGACACACATTGATTTGAAGGCTCAAACACTGTGAACACTATTTCTGATTGACTAAGCTAAGAAATTCCCGTTTCTGAGACTAAGGTATGATTGGTCAAAAAGAATGGCACACCTGTCCCTTTAAGGTTTACATAGCACTGTATAGTATTTTGATTTTTTAAGATTATTTAATGGAATACCAAAATTCCTTTTCTGTATTCTTATTTGAAATTTGTGCTCTTTTCCAGCCTTCCATATTACTTTTGAGAATATAAATTTGATGTCTGGTTTGTCTACAATTAAAATGTTACAGAACCAAATCAATAAAACCATAACAATATTTATCTCATAACATTTGGCAAAACATTCATCAGAGATCATTTCAGAATTTAAAAATAAGACAACCATTATAGAAAGAATGTGTGTATTAAATGGTTTAATTTGTTATTTTGTTATATTATAGCTACCCTATCCAGTCATGTTTTCAGAATATGGTGCTGATACTATAGCTGGTCTTCATAGGGTACGTTCAAATATTTTTACATGTGGCAAACAATCTTCTGCAATATTTAATGTGTATTTTGATGAATGAGAGCTTTAGGTAAATTCCATGAAACACAAAACCGTAACATGTAAAATTTATTTATGCAACCTTTCAGCCCTCAGACCCTTCTTCAGTCTCGAATTAGCAATTAGCAGAAATTAACACAGGTTTTAGGTTCCTTCTTACTTGTTTGGTGCATCTCTTAGACTAAAGCCTGCTACAGATGAGAGGAACTAGTTGAGCTGCTTACCTGCAATTGGTTTGTTACTTTTTCTAGCTCAGCTTGCAGCTTAGACGTCTGCACACAGTGAATTTCTGGCCTCTTGGGGCAGAAACTATCCAGCAGGATAGATATTTTTCCTCACAGCCTCTCGAGGTAGAAATCTCACTAAAAATTCAGGGTACACTGGGGAAACAGTTTATCTCCCGACCTCTTGAGGCTGGCAGCTCAGCGTGTTCCTCTCGTCTGTGGCAGGCTTTAATACACAAAAATCTAACATTTTTTTAATATCAGGTGCATCTGTGATCCCCCTTGATCTTGATGCTGAGGTTTCTGTCCTGATTGAGAGAAAAGGTAAGCACATTCTGCTAATTAATGTCAGGCATTTTCATCTGTTTCAGGAACCATCATTTGTGTTCAGTGAGGAATACCAAGTAGATTTTATGAGTGAATATCATAAAGCATTTGATAGACATCGAAATGATTATTTTGTTGGTGAACTTGTGTGGAATTTTGCTGATTTCATGACAGTACAGGGTAAGAGTCTTAATTTTTCTCTTGTTATGTATTTAATTTGACTTATATACAGTTTTAATTCGTTTTTACTTTTAAGAAATAAGTTTCAAAGCCATCATTAGCTAAAAGTAGGAAAATATGATAATGAGCACCAGCTGTAGCACATATGGTTAGGGTGTTGGAATCTTTACATGACATCATTTTGCTTAGTTATGTCAAATGAAGGCTGGTTGTGACTTCAAGAATGCATGGTAATCTTGAATCAGTCATCTTTCCACATTATTCCATTCCATCTTAAAAGCCCATATGGTGCAGAAAAGTAGCGATGTTTCATTTCATTATTCCATTAGTTTATGATAACTGATAATCTGGATAAGATCAATGCCAAGTGTTTTGGCTAAAGACCAGCTGATAGATTGCAAATATGATGTGTAAGCTAGTATTACTTGGGTGGTGCTTGATTGGTCAGTTCTGAGCAGGTTCTATCTGTTCTAATTCTGCTCTCAATTGTACGGTTTGAAAGAGGATATGTCACATGCAAAGTTTTCCCCCAGTTTTCCTTCTCCGCCATTTTGGTTTATGTCTGCACCTACTATTATTTCGGCACATGTGCAACTGGTTTCATTGAATGTTCTGGTGATTCCATGAATCCTGAACAGGCAGAACTCACCAATCAAGCGACCCTATGCATCCTTTCTTAACCTCGAGTTCCTGACAGAGGCTGAAGTGAAAGTTCTAGGGTATTTTCTATTAATTTTGATATTTTCTATGAATTTCATATTTCAGGTATTACAAGAGTAAATGGTAATAGAAAAGGTGTATTGACTAGACAAAGAGAACCAAAGGCTTCAGCCCATTTACTAAGAAAACGTTATATGTCTATATTTAATGCTACATTCACTATGAATAGCTATTGTTAACCTTAGTAGATACTATAAATTTAGATATATCGTGGGTGACCGCTTGAAACCTCTTATAAGCCATAATTGGTCATTTTGCCTTTTAGGTACCGTTCAAAAGCTTGTAGAAGCACAGATCTTGTGATCAAAACCTCTTATTCTTAGCTTGATTGTAAATTACCCAAAAACCACCAATTAAATAACACGTATATAAACAGTCAGATTTAAAACCTCGTAAAATATTATATTATACAAGGTTCAATGTTCCCTTCTCAGACGATGAAAACGAAAAACCTTGTATACTGTATTATTATACGAGTTATTGGTTGAATAGGTCAGAGTACTCAAATTGTTATACGAGGTTTAGATTTTCATAGAATGAAAACCATGTATAGTGGTAAAATAAATGAAAAAAAAGATTTTAACAAAATACGCGTACAATAGGTTTTTGCGTTTTTCTCGAAACGTAATATATCGTTATATGAGGTTTCCAGGGGTCACCCTCGATATATTCTTAGGGCCTTATTTTTTGTATCCATTTTAGGGAATTATATGATTTTTATAGGTTCAATATTTTTATATGATTATACAATTATTATACTCAAAGCAATATATTCAGAATGAGCAGAAAGATAATGTTTTTGGATAGATATTAAGGATAAAAATTAGCCAAGGCATTCGATTTACAGGGCCAGGTTCACCATTTAGGGGGGTTGACTGAGGTCTAGAATTTATGTATATATTCTTCAGAATTCCTAGAAATTAAAGAAAATCAACTTGGAATTTCACTTTCTATATATGGCAAAGTCTCAAGAAAAGATGACTTGTCTTTTTAACCTTCAAATGCCGATAATTCTGGAAACATGTATTTGAATGCTCAAATAGCAAAGGTGAGCTGTGAACACTGTTGCTGATTAGCTTACTGGTAATAAAAAAATTCCCGCTTCTTAGACAATTGGCCAAAAGAAATGGGGAATCTGTCCCTTTAATGAATTTCAAACTTGTGTAATGTGTATGTGAGGAAATTGCATTTATATTCTATATTTCAATGAAAGACTTTTTATCATTATGCAAGGTAAAAAATATTATAAAATTTTCTGTTTTGAAGCATACAAAATTCTGAGTGGTTCAGTTATTTTTTCATCTATAAAAGTATTTGTATCAGGGATATCAGTATTTTTGCCCAACATTCTGCAGACATGACTAATTTTTGGTTATGCATATTTTCTTGTTATTGCAAATTTGGTGCAATATTTATTGTTTGTTGATGTTTGTTATGTATAAACTTGCAGATATTTTATGCACATCCAGAATCATATCAAAACCTGAACAAGAGCAGTCCACTTTATGTTAAGGTAGTTTAGGAGGTAACGAGCACATAAACTTGCATATTTTAAAGTACATATACCTTTTTATGATACCTTAAAGTAAAGTAGACTGGTCCTATTTATGTTATAAATTGTACTTAATATATTGTACTATGTATGGCCTTTTAACGGAATACTACGTCTGAGAATGAACATAAAATTTAAGAATTTTAAACTTGGCCAATAAAAGCATATTCATCAGTAGATATACCTGGTGTCATAAATAACATAACAGGATCCTTATATAATCCGATAAATCCAAAAAAATTAGTAATTATCCATAAATATGCAATTAACTATTGAAAAATGCTTAATGTTAAGATTAATACTTTTTCAATAATTACTTAGTTTTATGAATTTTCCAATTTTCTAGATTTTACAGGGATTCTATTTTAACTTTAGTACACTGAAGAATATATACTCATATTGACCATTCTTGAGAATTTAAATTTTATGTTCATTCTAAGACGTAGTATCACTTCAATCTAACTAACATAACTTCTGATTTGTTTTCTAATTATTTTTTTACCACATAAAATATAAATACTATAAATTTTGTTTATCCTGTTAAAGATGGGTTTCCTCGTTTTCGGGTCAAACTATTTGATTATTATCCATGTATTCTCAATCTACAAAATGTATGTGAATGTAGAAAAGCTTGCAGAGTACAATAAACTCATGCTTTGTGCTATGTTTTTCTACGGATTAAAACTCCTGCCATCCATGATCTGACAAAATTCTTCTGTTAAACCTTGTTCAAACTGTGATTTCCTTTAAATATACCAAATATTGACTTTGATGATGTACTAGCAGTACTCTCTTTGGGTGAAAATTGTTCAATTATGTCTTTAGCACTAATATTCACTTTCTTCTCATCTAGTTTTAAATTCTCTGATAATTTTCCTAGTAATAGTGCGGGTCTGCTCTCCTGTGTCTGACAAAGTCGTTTTAGAGCATCACGGGCAGCCATTTCTTCAGCTATCTGAGCAGTTTCACCAGGTGCTACAAGATAAACATTGATACATTAAGACTAATGAATTACATAAAACTACAGGCTGCATATTCTGGAAACAATCTTAGCGCTAGCATGTCTTAGAAACAGTTTCAGAAGCTTAGGACCCTAGGACATCCTAGCACTAAGATCGTTTCCAGAATACAGGAGAGCTTTTTCTCTTGGTATTCTTCCCACATGCCCCAAAACATCTTCTGCATCTTTTTAGCCAATAAAGATTAGCGTTGCCTTGCTGCAACAGCCTGTAACAAATAAAATGCAATTGTTTGTCCAATCCCAAAAAATTGATGCCTTTTCCATCTTTCCTCTCTGAAATGCACCACATATACTACCTCAAGCTATACAAGAATTGACTATACAGGCTAGTTACTAGTCACTAGTGCCCAACTTTTTATAACCAAGGTTTATACTAGAATCTTACCTTTACCAATAAGTTTTTGATCTGAATAAATACCAATATGATAAACAGACATCAAAGTTGAACTGGCACCTTCCCATAATAGTCTACAATACAATATATTTTAATTTTAACAAATCTTGTCTAACAAACACATCTCTAACAAAACTATGAATCTATAATATTCTTAATAACAACTTCACAATTGGTATTTTACTTTTAGATTTTGTGACATTCTATATAGCACAGTCAGTTAGACCGTTGGTTCTTAACATGACGTCATTTAGTTACGTTGAGCAAATGGCGGCTGTGAATTCGATCTCCAATGGTATGTGATAGTCTGATGACCTTGAATAAGTCATATTCACTCACAATTCCAGTCGACCCGGCTGTAAATGGGTACGGATAATCCGGGAAAGATCAATGCCAAGAGGTTTGGCCAAGGACCAGCTGGTAGAAAGGATCCTTAACTGTGAACCTATGTTGTTATCTCTAACAAAACTATGAATCTATAATATTCTACATGACAACTTCAAAATTGGCATTTTATTTTTAGAATATTGTGTCTATATTAATTTTGAACCTAAAATTGACATTGTACAAGTACCTTTTAGCTATGCATTCAGACTTACCTTGGTTCAGGCAAACCACGTTTTTGAAAGTGTAATACTGCTGTCAATAAACCCATTGGGTTAACCACATTCCACATTTCATTTATATCCTTGCCAATTAATTGTGGTAAAATAAAATCTCGGACAAATAAATGAGCTCTCTCTTTACCCTGTAAAATGTAAAAAAATTATTGGCTAAGTCTTCAACAAGCTGAATGTATGTCTAGCTGAGAGATAAAGCACAAAATTTTTGGCAATCTGATTAAAATGCAGATCAAGATGTTTTATTTGGGTTTTTTTCTGCAAGTTACAACACATGCCATCCATGATCTGGTGAGATTTTTCCTTAAATTGGGTTACGTGAAACTTTAAACCAATAAAATGCAAAGTAAAGTTATAATTTACGCAAAATCACTTTTAAAATCACTTGTTACACAACACAAGACAATTTGTCTTATGAATATCCCATAATTCCTCACATATAGCATGAATAAAGAGCATATGATTGGTTGAATTCTAAATAACCAAGAACATCAGATGCATGACAATATTGTCAGATTAAGGATAGCAAGTGGAGTCACCCACAGACAAAACCTAACAAAAAATTTTATATTTCTGCTCCACACTTAACTGTCTGCACATCTTCTGTCAGTGATATACAAAAATATCCAACACAAACTTGTTAATTTCCTATTTAAGGCCACATAGTTTGATGTTTGTATACAAATGTAAATGAAAAGTAATTGCTACCTTTTCTTGCTCTAATGCACCTATAAAAGCCATTAATGTTGTCACTATTGTAGATTCTCTTAGAGGAAAATCCTGAAAAAAAAAGAAAGTTCCAAGTTATTGTCTGACACATGACATGGATGTCATTCTGATTTTTCAGCGCATTTCCAGAAAGTTAACATTCTTCTTCACATGACTTAAACAGTTGTCAGTTGTTTTTATTGTTTGAATTTGCAATGTACCCTACGTTAGATTATATGCAATTGACATGTTCGACACTGGTTCTACCCAGCCTGAAGTGGCCATGGCCTTCAATGTTTAAAAGAAACAGTAAGGACTAGTGTAGAATCCAATGCAGCAAAAAAAAAAAAAAAAATAAATAAATAGATAAAGCTTACATCACACATAATTAACTCAGGTATTCCAAGATGTCTACCAATATTACATAATACATCTTCAGACATTAAATATTCATGTATAGATCTAAAAGCAAAATATACACTAACTATTTGTTGGAAAAATAATCATTGCAACTGGCCTCTTTAAATCTCACAAAGAAATGGTATTTGACTCTCTAGCTGTTTTTTGGGCAATGCCATGCAGTGTGCAATGAAAGAAATTTTGATGTAGTCGTCAACTTTTAAGGAAATCACCATCAAAGGGTCTTAAACTACTTCAGTATCTAGGATACATACACCACTGTAAGAGGCAGGTGCTGTCTCAATGCTGGGATCAAACCCCAAGTCTGAAAGTTTAGGAAACACTAAGTCACATCTACTGCAACAAAAAAATGTCTGAAGAAAGTTAACAAACCTGATTCCTTCTTCAAAATAATTAGGAAATGCATTTCTTAGATATATCAGTACATAATTACTTGCTAGTTGTTCCCCTGAAAAATAACGCAAGCATCATATAACAAATGGATTGATCCTAAAAATGAAAAAAAAGATGTTTGCATCCTACTTTACTACACACGTTTGAGCTAATCAACACCATTCAGTGCAAAATAGAGAAATTTGGCCAAGAGTCATATCTTTCAAATGTCTATGTAGCAAATTGCACAATGGTGTACTTTATAATCCAATCATACCTCTGTGGTTCTAGCAATTCTACAAAAACTAAGTGTTTTATGATGTCACCCTCACAAAGGCCTTTTGTAAATTTTGTTACAGTGACATCACAAAACAGTCAGTTTTAGTGGAATTGCATGAGCCACAGACGTCTGATTGAAGTTGGATTGGTGCAAATTGATGCTACCAGTGTCCCTGATATGCATACAAAATTTAGAAAACCTCTTTCCAATCCCTTTAATGGGTCTGCTTTGTGGCAGTTCCATTAATGAACAAAATAATTTTCAAGTTTAAAATCACGCTCCAAACATATTTACCTGATTTGGCTAATTGTTCATTATGATCTACATCAAGACCTGAAGTACCAACAGCAATTCCTAATTCTTGTATTTTCTTTTTCTCTCTTTCAATGTAAGATCTATAATTGAAGTACGTCATTTAATACAGATAGATCTAGAAATTTCATATGAGTACATTAAAGTAAATTAATGGCATGGAATAATGTGAATCGACATTGAGTATGATTGTGTCTGCATTTGTGTGTCTTTTTTATATCTCAATTGTATAAAAGGGACAAATACTCCATTCGTTTTGACCAATCATACTTAAGTCACTGAAACATGATTTGTTTTAGCTAAGCTAATCAGTAATAGTGTTCACAGATCACGACTGACATTTGAGTCTTCAAATGTGTGCCCAGAATTATCCACTTTCATAAGATAAAAAGATGAGTCGTATTTTCTTGAGACTCTGTCATATATAGAAAAGACATCTGTATTTTAACAGCACTTTTTTCCCCGTCCTACACTTGATGTAAGATAGACAATGTCTTGCCAAAAACAGACATTGGAGCTGGTTTGCCAGTCCTGTCTGCAAAATACAGCCGAATCAACATCCCTTTTTTTGGCACTAATAAAGATGCAAAGATATTTAGCATAAGAAGACTAGATAAGCCGTGAGGTCAAAATTTGATCTTTGAGATAATTTACCTGTGTAAAAAGACCTTCTTTAATATATCATCATTTAAATCTTCACCAAGTCTTTTACCAAAGGAATAAACTTCACTGTCATAATTCCTGAAAAATACAGAAATCACACATCATCTTTATTGTCTGTTTTTGAAGATATCAGGTAGCTGGAGCCAAAATGACAAGAAATTAATTCTACAAAATTGCATCTTTGTATCACTGACAACAGCTCAATCTATTTTGTTGAAATTTTGAATTGAAAATATACAAGTTGAGTACACACTGTTAATTGCTCACCACAAAACTTTCAAACTTAATCAAAAATAAATATTAAGAGGCGCCAGTCTGGATTTTAAAGGGACAGGTGGGCTATATTTCTATATATATATATATATATCTTTTCTATATATCACAGAGTACATGTATCTTAAACTGACAAGTTGTCCTTTTAACATACAAACGAGATAATTATGGACACACATGGATTTAAATAAGCAAAGGTTTACCTTTCCCTTTAACCAGTTCCCTATATGACGAGTAAAATCAAAATTTGTTTTGAGCTGATAACTGTTACTCACCAATTAATAAACTCTGATCTATGTCTGTCAGGTTCCGGTCCAACAGTTAATCTTGATTTATATTGAATTCTCAGGTCTTTACTTAATCCTTTCTTATAACATCGACTTGGTACTACAAATATTCAACCATAAACATACATGGTAATTAAAATTGATTTCACAGTGAAACATATCTTCCACGTTCACTTGTCTTAGAAGAGAAATCAAGATTTTAGCTTTGGAATATTCAAAATAAATAAAGAATACTGTAATAAATTAAATGTAAATTTTCAGCATATAAAATCTACTTGTGTGAAAGCTGACTGGTTGAGCACAAATTAGGACCAGTGGCGTTGCCATAAATCATTGTGTGGAGGAACCAGTTGGGGTCACATAATTTTTTAAGAGGGGGTGGGGGACAATGCAATAGGTATTGAAGAACTGAAAGATGAAATTTGAAACTCAAGTCCAAGAGGGCTGGAGACTGGAGTTGAGGGATCGGGTTGGTGGAGGATTAAGATTAAGATGTTATGATTTCGAATGACATTTTTGTTTTTTCTTAATTTGTAAAAGACAAGAGTATCCAAACCAGAATGAAACAATCTTGTCAAGATGAATATACCTTGTTGCAGTGGAATCAGTAATTTTCTGAAACAAACGACTTTCAATCCCGACCTTATGGAGGCTGACATCTTGGCTATTTAAATTACTGTAATTTGTTAAACGACACGAACAATTAAAGTTCTAAAAATAAGCTTCGAAATTTGACACTGAAAAAAAAGAAGAAATTTGATTAAACAATTATCTCTTGCATGGAAATCGAAAATATAATATTCGATATATAACTATCAACCTTGCAACCATATATTTTTCTTTTATGCGTTTTAAGAATCAGTTTTGTTCAAAATTCGTACCGTACTTCCGTTAAAAACAAGCACTGTTCACTAAAAAAAAGGTCAAAACAACGCAAAGTCAAGAGATCAAGTGGTCGTCAGTATGCAGTTAACACGGTTGTTGTGCTATTACCAGCACAGGATGAAAGTCCCGGGTCTCTTATATGCAGGGTATGACTATGGTTTCGAGAACGATCACCACCGAAGACTAATCCGAGAAATTCTGAATGATCTGTCCAGAGTTTCTTGGACTAGCTTGTGTATGCAATAAGCCATTTTTTCACATTGGTCAAAAATCATTGCAGATGAAAACATTAAGAACTGCAATATGTTGAAATAAAGAAACGACTTTATTGATGCTAAACACAATTCGATGAGCAGGGCAATGTGAAAACTCTTGAAATGTGACAACTGCATAGCGCATGTACCCGAAGAAATCAGAACTCCATAGTGGCTTATACTTCATACGGTCTCCAATGCAACAGATAAAGGAAAGAATAGAGCTATATCAACTTTACTTCATTTTTTTGATAGTTCATATCTATATCATATATATAGTTTATATCTTTTAAAAAAATATATTTTACAGTAAAAATAAATTGGTGAAACCTGTCACTGTTGAGAAGAAGAGACAAGCATTAAATCAATTACTTTTACAGAAACAAAATCATGATATTCTGAGCAGACCATATTTATCAAAGGTATGTTGGACAGTTGTGGAAATTTTGTTAAAGATAAAAGCAGATCTTCATTATGAACATTAATATGGACATTTAAACTTAATTAAGTATCCATTTAAGTGATTTACCAAACAGATGACTGGAACACTAAAAGAGTCTAAGGTATGATTGGTCAAACAGATGGTGATCATGTCCCTTTTAGTTAAATTTGAGTTAAAGTGGCTAGTTTTCTCAAAGCAGTTATTTGCCTTGACCAAAAATTTGTCCATGATGCATAATGCATGTTTGTTTTTAGTATGACTATAGCCAAGATCCCAAACGTTTCAGTTTAGCAGCTCCTTTGTGGCAAAATCATTAAACCTGGACAGGTATGTAATGGTGTGCTAAGTGACATCAAATTTGGGTTTTGCAAGATTGGAGGGACTGACATGGAAAAACGCATCTAGACGTTTGGATGAGACATGCTGCAGTCTGTACATGTTAAAGATCCCTTGTCAGTTGGAAATCCACAAAGAGTACAAAGCTAATGCAGCTGTCTTGGCAAAATGGACCTCATTGCACACTGGCTTTAAACTTCATTCATTCCTTTCATTTCATTTTCAAATTTGTGTTTTATATTCTTTGTTTTTATTTATAGGAAGTGTCATCTGGTCATACTAAAAATTCGGGTCAAAAACTGAGAAGATTTGAGGAAATCATTGCTAAGAGGAAACATAAAATGTTACCCCATTGTTCATATGAGACTGAAATAAGAAGAAGTTTAGAGCTGAGAAAAGGCTGGGGATCTATTAAGTGATTTTGGAAATGATACTAATTTTTTTTATTTACATAGAAACAATGACATAATGTATGCAAATCAGTTTTATAGTTGTTTCATTTGGAAAACAACTTTGAGTGTATGAAAATAGCTCTTTGAAATGGAGCATAAAGTGTGTTAGCCTATTAAAAGATGTCGCTTATATGAGCTGAAAGTATTTTTGTTTTTTTTTGGATGTATTAAATCCCATATCAAAAAGGATGTTATTCATTCTGTTAAGAAAACCTACATCCAATATCCATATCTTTATATTCGTGTTTAGAATTCAGCAATGTGTCCATTGAATAACAGGTGTCTTTGAACCATAAAATATATCAACAAAATAGTTCTATAGTACACATTTTTAATAAAAAAAAAAAATAAAACTCATATAGAAAAAAGTTAATTAACTATATGAACATGGACATGATTTTAAGTCATATTTTTACAAGATCTGTATAACAATGTCTTATTTTGGCTTTAAACCACATATCCACATAATATATCAAAATCCAGAGCACTCGGCTTATATCACACTATAAACTTAATATCTTGATTTGAAAGTTCTTATAGATTTCATAGCTAAATTGGAATCATGTATCATTTTCTACAATTTTCAAACATTCATCAGCAAATTCTGTAAATATTGGCTCCATCATGGCTTTTGCCATTTCTTGTTCAGCGTGTTCACTATTGCACAGATTTTCCATCATTGCTCTCAAATGTGGATTCTCCAAAATAACTTTCATATTCGATGAATTTTCTGAAATATACAGAACATCATTGACATTTAAGTACATAATTGGTTGCTAGATTTGAGATACAGTAAGGCATTAGATTATAGTTCAACTGTAAGGAGTAAGTCTTGCATTCTTCACACTTGAGAGTTGTATTAACAACTTTCAAGTTCACAAATGTGCATCAGAAGTTTAAGAAGAGCAAGCAATACCAGCTTTGCTAGCAAAATGTATGATAAAAATGAAAATTAAGTTTGAATATAGCCAAAATGCAAGAATTTAATTATTAAAATATTATTTTATTTTTTTATTTATGGAAAGCTGGAAAAATTGCAAGATTCTATTTGTCAAAAATGCATGTGCTTTCCTGCTTTGATCTTTTTAAAAACCCAAATTAAGTATTCCTATGTATGAGATGTAATTCCTACGTGTGATGGTGATTATTAAACAAATTTGGGAGACTAAAATCATCAAAGAACAATACATATTCTAAAATTTCTACCTAACATCTGAAGTTTTTCTAAGGGAACTCTATCTGCTGTTTCTTCCTCTCCTAATCTCAGAATATCATTTAAACCTTCTGTCTTCTCTGAAATTGGAATGATGCATGTTAATATATATGATTTAAGATGACGTTCTCTGGTCTGTAATCTACCGATTACACTGATAGCTTATATTTGCTCCATTCTGATATCCAGTCAGTCGTTTTTTCAAATTTCACTTTGAATTATTGACGTATTTTCTTGTAACCACAAATGAATGCTATTATAATTGAACCAGATACACCAGTGGCAGCAGCAGAACTTTGGATTATCTTTTTCAAATCCATTTCAAGGGTGGAGTGGGGGTGGGTGGCAGGGAGGTTGGGGTGTTGTTGGCATCAAGGTATTCTTACAAAATCATTTTTACTAAGAAAAAAAGCTTTCCTGCAGATAGAATACATCCACAAATGTCATTTAAATACATACCCTTCTTAAACACAGTTAAAAGCAACTCTCATGAATAATACATGAGCATTTCAAATGAGAATGGTTGTTATTACTGAGTGTACCCAAGGTAGCCTACATTCAAATTTTATTGAAACGGTGACCAAAAGTATGATTACCAACCTGCTATTGCTAAAGATGTAGTTTCTTTATCATTTATATTAGAATCAGGTTTTTGACATATTTCTGGAAAAAAAGAATAGTTTTTCTTTGAAAAAAAAATTGAGTTCTATAGGGTTATTCACAAAAATACATTTTTAGACTGGAAATAGATTTACATCACTTTTCATTGTGAAAGTGATACCAAAACTTATCTTTTGAATGATGCTGCCTGCCACTTGATAACTGTATTCTTTAAAGTCACTTTAACTATATCAGTTTCTTCTCAAATCTTTCTTTCTGAAGATAATAAAATTCAAGGCCACAGTTTGCCACACTGTTTTTTTGCGAACAGCTACAAATATTTATTGCAACAGAAATTGACAACACCAAATTCTTGTGCCAGAATAATTAGCCTGGAATTCCAGTCTTAAGTACCAACTTGTTGATGGAATATTGTTTACTCACCTTTGTGACTTTTATAGCATTTAACTGAACAACTGAAAAAAAAAAAAAAATATAAGAACTTGACAAATAATGAATAAAAACATTTATTCAAAAGGTTCGGAGACTAGATAAATCAATTCCATTATGGATTGAACAAGTCGTCTTTTCTAACCCTGATACTTCAAGCTGATCTTTTTATAAATAAAAGGTGTCATTAATCTACTGGCTCAAGAATCAATTTGATTAACTAGTTATTGCTTTGCACACGCTTGGAAATCTTAATAAGGTGTAGTCAATTTGTCAATTTTATACCAATGCTACACTTACTACTTCAGTAAACACTGTGGACATTTATATTTAAATTCTCCTACTTTACATACTTCACATATCTTGGTTGTCATTTTAATGTTTCTATAGATAGGTTGATGAGTACCTACAATTACAACTAAAAAATATTTCACATCATTCAGAATAGCAAACATAACTGAGTAAGGTACATAATTAAAAGTCAAGATGGATTGGTGAAAATTTCTTTGCGAAGCCTTCAATTCATTGGTAAATAATTTTGATTCAAGAACTATGACACACAGTTATTCAAAGTTTAATGATAATCACAAGATCATGCTCTCAGGTCTGTCCATTTTCTAACCTCATTGTCAGACTATTACAAGAGGGTGAAACAAGCACAGAACCTTCCCCTACATTTTGCTAAATAACAGTTAGAGTTCAGCTTTTGTAGCAATTTTAGTTTACAAATAGGTCTACCGAAAAGTAACTAATAAGGTTGTGTCATAGGCAAGATGTAACTGAATTCAGGACAATGCTTACACAAGACAATTAGACAATTCAGTAAGATTGCGATATGATCAGTATGACATCAACTCCGATACTTTTTTACACGTGCTTTTGTTATGATTGTAAATGCTGCATGACATACATTTTAGCGTAGCGTATCGTCTTCAAGTAGACAGACAATTTTTATGGGAAATATCATTTTAAACACTTATACATAATAGTTAAAATTTAAAAGAAACAAACTCAAAGTTAAACCAGCACTGTACAGGTCTAGTAGTATTTTATTTTCTGTGCCATGCTGAACATCACCAAATATGACCTTGACCATGATACTATGCCCTACAAGAAGCAAGCAACGGTTAAGTTAGGCCACACCGATTGTTTACAACGCAACTAGATATCCCAAGTCTTAGATTTATCGGGGCCATATAATACAGCTCAAAGTCTTTATGATTTCCAGTAATGAGCTAGAACTAGGCTTACATTACATCTTTTGATTTGCACAGAAATTGTTAACAGTTGTATTAGCATCAAATCTTATTCTTACTTAGATCTGGAAGGTTGAATGCTTTGATTATGTTAGCATGCTTGTGATCGACAGAAAAAGAATGGTGAAAGGAAGTTGACTAAAAGATATAAATATATCGCAAATTCGACAAAAATGAGTTTTTCGTCAAAAGAATATGTTAGTTTGTTGATACCAAATGTTGGAAATGAAAGGTTTTTACTGGTGAATGATGACGCCAAAGGTTTATGGCTTCCATGCCGAGCAAGAGATGAGAATGAAACACTGAAGTCGGCTGCATTAAAATTGGCTGAAGAGGTAATATCCTTATCCTAATCCTAATGCCGTAGTGATGTGATGCAATGCAAGATCTGATCTAGAATTCAAAATTGTTAAAAGGCCTATTTTTTTCTCATGCTTGGATGTCTGGAATTAGTTATTTTGTTGTTTTACAAATAATTACTGTTCAATTTAAAAAAAAAAAACGTGTTTGTGGTTATCAGAGAATGTTTTTTCACAAAAAGTCTAGGTCTAGGCTATTTCCTTACATCCTAGTTATAAAAATGAAATGTTTGGCAATACATTCTACTTTAACCTAATATTACATTTGAGAAAAACACTCGTACTGGCTCTAAAAGTAGATGATTTAGATATGATTTATGATAAAGAAACACATGGGTCATTGTGTTGAAGTAATTGGTGTGCTAAAGTAAAGTATGAGAAGTCTTTAGAATAGTCTTTGCATGTAGCTTACATTGTAAAAGACCACAAGTAATTCAGTTTTTGCAAAATGCCACCAATACCTTGGTAAGAATGTGAATAATGTGTATTTTCAGTGTACTGGTATTAAAAGTATTCTGTTAAATGGTGTCATTAGAACACATTTTACTAGAGTACCAAATAGTTCTTCTATTGTCAATGCTACATTTTTAACTGCACCAACTGCCACCATACAGAAGGTAAAATGTCATATTTCTAATAAGTTCAATTTCATGAAATTGTTAGTTTTTAGTATTTGTATGCATATTCAGGAATCTTATAGCAGCTTCCATAAATTTTCATCATGTGAACTTACAGTTTGATATCTAGTCTGTGATATAAGCTTTTGTTGGAAGTAGACGTTAACTTATCATCTACCAACCTCCCAACTTCCAATAAGCTTATTATATATCTGAATTTATTGTAATTCGAATAAAATGCATTTTGGGTGGGTTCCAAATAGTCGTTTCAGCCCATGACGGAAAATGTAGATACATTCCTTTTGAAAGAAATACAAGCTCGAACAAGGAATTTTTATGAAAGACAATGACAAATTCGTGCAATATTTACAGGACGGTGCAGTATGGATGTCAGAAGAAGATGTACAGAATCACATGGATACAAGCAGTTTGCCATGTGTATTAGGACCTGAGCCATTGAAATTTATACAGCAATTTAAAGATGTAAATAAAGGTAATTTAAATCTGAAAATTAACCTCCATTTCTCTTTGCTTATACAGTTGTTTTTTTAACATACTCCCCTGTAGACATTATTATAGGCAAGGCGAGCTAGACTAAATTGTTTTTCCCCCTCATGTATTTTCAATTGTAGACAAACTGTATGCTTGATATACATCCTGAAAAGGATTAAAAAAAAACAGTAGGAATTGGGCTAGCTCTTTCAGTTGACACGTCTTTTCAACTTGATTATTTGACTACAACTGAACACAAAAGAAATTTATGTAGCCCTGCAGGAAATGTATCATTGTTTGATTTGTTATATATAGGTACTGCATCATGGGCATCTCTAACAGAGACAACAATAGACTATATTGATATAACATCATTAGAAACATCACAAATAACTTCACATGAAGCTTTGATCAAATCTTCTAAGTTGGGTAAAAAAGGTAAGTCACGGCAGATAATGCTGATTTCTAGATTCAAGATTTAAGTTTCATTATTAGATAATGACCACGAGCAAGTTTTTCAGAGGAGGTTTGAAAAATGGATAAAAGGTTAAATTGGAATGAGCTTTTTTCAATTTTATTAAAAGTGACATTGGGGTTGCATTAGAAAAAATCATTATGCTATTATTTATAATTCATTTTTTTAGAGTCAATCATTGCAATTGATTCATTCATTCCAGGGTTTTGATTCATCCATGACAGTTTATAGACTGGATAATCATTTTTAACCAAATTGTATTCAAGCTAGTTATGAAGAAGATTCTTATTGATCACTGGAAATTTTGTCTCGTTTTTAAAATGGTTCGAAGAGGTTCTCTTTAATCTTTAAGAATTTGTCTTCTGTGACTTTTCACCTTGTTATGAATCATTATTACTGCACCGAGTTACACAGAACACAAGTACTAGAACATAATCTGACATATTGCTCTATTCATTATATTTTAGAACAAGGTATGTTATATAAAGAGTTTATGGAAACAACTCACCCAGCTCAGCTGATGTGTTTACCAGTATTCAGAAGATATTTAGCAGCCAAAGGTGCCAAATTGGATGAAATAGATGATATTTTTAGGTATGTTTTTTTCTTGTAAATCAGTGTTAAGCTAAGATTCCATATACGCGTCATGCGGATCCGTCATCCGTCATGCGTTAAAAATCGAAATGGTTGGTTTAAGAGGGTATGATTCCATATATGCGGAAGCAGTATCCGTCAAATGGTCTCCGTCATGCGTAAAAAAAAAAATCGCCTGGTGTAGGTTTTTTGACGCATCCGGACGCCTTGCCGTGCAGAGATCTCCCAAATGTGACGTATTTTGTGGGGATTCCCTGTCTTTTTCTGCCATATTTTGACAACGAAGATGGGGAAATCAACATACTCGACACAAACTTCTAAAAAACTCATACATAGTGTTAGTGAAAAAACACCCTCATCTTTACGATAATAGATCGCAATTACACCATGTTCTCGTCGTAAAAGTAGGATGTTGTGGACCCAATAGCGATGCTTCCTTTGTTTCTTCTTCTTCATTTTCATTTTCAACCATTCCATAGCAAGCCTGGCAATAAAAAATTCATCTTGCTCCAGCATAAATTTATGCACCAAAGCAACCATCAAGTCAAAAGAAAGATAACGCATACGTTTAACGCACATATGGAATCATATTTGACGCATGACGGTTCCACAAGGGCCATTTATGTCCGCATGACGCGTATATGGAATCTTAGCTTAATACTATGTGAGAATGATTTTATTCTTTAATGAAAGATTTCAAAGAGTTTAGGGTCAGTTTTTGGTCCTGTCCAACCAGCCATAGGGCATCAAATTTTGATACTTTATTGATATTTTAATAAATATTTTTCAGAAATAAGTGATCTGATATCTTACAGAGAGTCCACATAGCTTATGATATTTTTCTTGGTATATTTCAGGGCCTTTGATCTTCATAAAAGAAAATATTTAACATATAAAGATGTATTATTAGGTTTAGCTGCTATGGAACCCACCACTCAACATGGTGGTATGCCAGCTGAAATGAGATGTAGATATATCTTTAAGTATTATGATAAAAATTTAGATAATTTTCTGCAGTTTGAGGAATTTATGTAAGTTTTCAGTGGTTACTATGTTTACTATTTTAACTAAGGGTTCAGGGCCTGTTCAAAAAATTCTTTCGTAATCTTACGATAAATGTGTGGAATTTTACATCAGGAAATATACTTGCAGCAAAATTACATTTGTATAGAAATGATACCCATGCTTATGATTAATTTTTGTCCCAGCACTTTTCTGAAAAACAGAAACCAGGTGTTTGATCCCGTCATAGGGGTTTTTGCATGGAAGAGGCACATGAAAAGTCTATTTGGATGTAAGAATAAATGGGCCCTCTGGACTATAAACTGTGTACATTAAACATCAGTAGGCAGTTGGAAATTGAAAAGAGAGCAGGAAAATGCCACTGTCCCAGCAAAAAAATTTCCCACATTGCACAATGGATGGTGTTGCACAATTTCACAAGCACAAATCCGAAGAGAGAGGTAAAATTGTAAATTGTTTATATATCCATTGTAATTATGTATCATAGGAAATTAGTCAAAGATATTAGACAAAGTAAAAATTTACCCTTAACACCAGATGCTGTACATGATGATGCTGTCACTTCTGCCCAGTAAGTTTTTTCATTTTCTTGTCCTTGATTTTTTCAAAATGGCGGAGAAAGGAATAGAAGGGAAAATTTTGAATATGACGACATAATCTGGTTCTGTACCGTGCAAATGAGACCAGAATTGGAACAGACGGAACTTGTTCAGAACTCTCCAATCAAGTGCCACCATAGTCATTCAGATGGAATGATAAGAAAACAAGGCTCATGACTGTGTGTCTCAGACTATGTGCATTAAAAGGGTGTCTATAGTTGTAAGGATAATTAGCTGCAGAAAACTTGGTTGTTTAAACACTTCTTATTTCCTTTATTAGAGTATTTGGTGAAAATGTTAAAGATAGATTACCTATAGCTGATTTTTTAAATGCTGTTGGCCAGTTGAAATTTCGTGGTACTTCAGTTTTATTTCGTTTACCTCATTCCTGTATTGAAAATATTAGTAATGGTACCGAAGAGTAAGTTTTGATGTTTTATTTTTACAAAATAACCTCAATAGATGGCCTGAATTTTAGCTTAAGAAGATGGCAATTGGCTTTTCAAAAATTAGGTTAGAACTGAAGTTAGCCGAAAAATGTTTCTATCTAAACATGAAGTTTTAAAATAAAAACATTTTGTTCTGAATAGTTCTACCAGTTTATGGAACAAAAATTTGTGCTTAATTATCCAAGAATGTCTGCCACCATGGCCACATTTAAAGGGATAGGTAGGGCTGGAATTTTTTAGCTGAGTTAATCAGTGATGGTATTCACAGCTTAAAAATTTGAGCATTCAAATCAATGTGTGTCCAGAATTATCTGCGTTTGAATGTTAAAATGAGGACTCATCAATTAAAGATACTCTGTGATATATAGAAAAGACATATATAGAAATAGTGAGTAAAATACCTAGTTTGAAGTATTTTTAAAGTATATTTCTAGTACTTCTGAAGACTATTTACAAATATCAAAGACTAAAATCAAACCCCCAAAATGGCACAACTGTCCCTTTAAGTTCAAGTACCCTTTATGAACTTAATTTTAGAATAATAGATAATTCATTTGTAGGTTTTATGATGCTTATTCAGTCAATAATCATGATGAAGAACCACCAACTAAGAGAAGTAGACCTAAACTAATAGAATCCAAAAAAGCTAAAAGTGATAGTAAGTCATCTTTTTCAGTCTTGTCTTAGTTTATGTGTACTCCTATGTTATCTATGTTATGATACTATGTTATCTATGTTATGAAACTATCTTATATAAGTTATGATACTATGTTATGATACTATGTTATCTATGTTATGATACTATGTTATCTATGTTATGATACTATGTTATCTATGTTATGATACTATGTTATCTATGTTATACTATGTTATGATACTATCTTATGCAAGTTATGATACTATCTTATGATACTATAAAAATTTTTATAGATGAAGATACATCAGCTATATTTAAACAACCTAACAGTCGACCACCACAAACAAAACAAAATGCTCTACCTAAATATGAACTAGCTACCCATACTGTGAAAGTACGTCGAACTGGTACCTTAGCTGATATTATGGCACTGTGGGATTTACAAGGTTAGTTTGTGCAACATTTCAAATGAAAATATTTGACTTTTTCGAAAACCTTGAAGGTCAATCTGCCCCAAAAGAGATCTTAAAGATGGGTTCCCTTATTTCCAATTATGAACAGGAAAATGCTAATACTTATATGTCCATAATTAATTCATAATTAGCTAAATTAGAAGAGAATTACCAGCAGAATTCCAATGAGTGACCGATCAAGAAGGTCAAAAAGTCTTTTTTATGTTTTTATGACTGTACATACATGGAGGTGTATTACTGGTTAAAACTCTTAATTATATGCAAGAAGAACATAATGATATAATTAAGAATACATGATAATTCAATAGAAACACCAAATAGTTTGCTTAACTACCCATCTTTAAAGGTAATCCTTAAGCGACATTTAGGGGTAGAGATCACATTAAACAACGGACACAATTTTATGGTATACTACTCCTTAGTTTTATTACACACTGCGTTTCAACAATCTACATTGCCATCTTCAGTTAATCTTAAAAGGTAATTTTGCCTGAGAAGAAAGACTGTAAACTTTGGCTGGACATCGCTGGATATGCAAAATGTCTGTTTTTACACCATTTATAAATAGTTCATGCTGGAACCTTTATGATAATAATTCTCTTTTCACCACCATGTTTCACAAAATACTAAAGAAATGATGTAGAATAGAAGCTATCATCAATACTATAGCATCTTTTGAAAATGTTAATATTGGTTAGTAATTTCTCTATGTTTATTTTCTAGGTACGTCAGCTATTAGTGGTAGTGCTGATCATCATTTAGAAGGAGATATTTCACGATTTCAACGAATGCCTTCCATAGATTCATTTAATCAGGTACATTGACATCATTTCTCAAAATATCTTCTGATATTTCTGTGGAAAACATTACGTTCGACTTCCAGTTATAGGCTATTGTAAATGGACCACTACAGGCAGTGTGCATCACTGACAACGGGAAACTAGGACCAAATTTAGAGCATCAACCATTTGTCATTGTAAACAGGCTATAAGTTTCAGCGGAATTTCATTTCCTATATTTGAGTGTAACTATATTGTTATCTGTTGTAGAGATCTCAACCTAATGAAATGTTAACAGGGTTACGATATTTTGAAAGAAGTTTAAAGGGAGATAATAATGCTCTACCAAAGGTAAGGAGAATTTATCTTTGATCAGAAATCGAGAGTTGCATTTCATAGTTTAGTCTACCTCAAGAACTTATAAATGGCCTATAGAACATTGATGTGTATGTGTATTCATGGTTTAGCCTTAGAGTGGGATTGTTTTAACATTTTAAAGTGCCAAATTTACATACATGCATCTTCATAATGCCAAGTTGTTATGAACTGTGTCTTATACCTTGACTGCTATATTCATCTTTCTTGTATTACATGAAATGCAGTGATTTGATTGGATTGTACACTAACGAATAAAGCCAATCATAGCAATCAATTACACAGCTGCATTTACAAACTTCCGTGATACAAGAAAGATTACTATTGTAGTCAAGGTATTAGACACAGTTTGTAATAGATTGACATTGTGATGATATACATTGTATATCAAGTATTGGGAAGAATTAAAAATGTTCCAACAAGGTATAAAAATAGGGAAAGTTTTAAGTTTTTTGGTTCAATGTATTGACATGTTAATTCTGTCTGCCTGCCTTCATTAGCCCATTTAGGTCCAGAAGAGTAGGATGTAAAACTCCATTCATTTCATTTTATTCGATTCTGATATTTCAGGATCAGTTTACGTGGGGTCAAGTTGATATGACAGCGCTAGCTAAATGTTTGCTAGCTTTATGTAGACAAGCTAAAGATCTGCTAATGAATGAGCCAAGATTACTAAAGTTACAATCACCATCTTATATTTTAGGTATGTATTCATATAGATACTTTCATGCAAATCTAAATTGCCTTGAAGGTGTACATTTGGTTAAAGCATTAGATTGTTTCCATGACATGGTGGTTATGGGTTCTAATCTTGCTTTTGTGTGAAAGGCAAGGATATGTATATCAATGAATATAAAGTGCACTGTCTTAAATTTGGTTAGAGCATTAGATTCTTTACATAACACTGTGGTTATGGGTTCTAATCTTGGTTGCCTGTGAAAGGCAAGGATATGTATATCAATGTATATAAAGTGCACTCCTTCCATATGGGGTCTTTTTGGTGTAAAAATATGCACATGATACATGGAAATAAACAGTATTTATGATTATGATATTAAAGATATATATTGTTTGTATTTCAGGTGATATTCATGGTAATTTTCGTGATTTGGTGAGTTTTGAGAAAGCATTATGGAGAATGGGTCCGATATTAACACCAGCATCATTTCTGTTTCTAGGAGATTATGTTGATAGAGGTGATCATGGTGTGGAGGTATGAATATTTATAATTCACTTATTCAGATTTTAAAGGAAGTAGAAGTAAGGCACTTGCTAGGTCCATGGTTCTATCCCAACAGAGGTAGAGATTATATCTTTGGATTTTCACCTTTCAGTGATGCAGGTGCTACAGACTGTGCACATTAAAGATCTTACAGTAGGAAATCAAAAAGAGTTGGTTAATGCTGCTGGCAAAATTATTATCCCAATCCCCAAACAATTTACATTGTTTTAAGGCCCAATGAGGCAGTATTGAATGATTGTAAATAATTCATAATAAATATTTTTGTATTTTTCTACAGGTAGTAGCTTATCTATTAGCTCAGAAACTGTTAGCACCTGGTAAATTTTTCTTATTGAGGGGTAATCACGAGTTACGTCATGTACAAGAAATGTTCCACTTTAAAAAGTAAGTACCGTGAAACCCCTCTAAACTGAATACTCTATAAACCAGATTTCTCTTTAAACTGGTACATTTTAAAAGTCCAGGTTGAATCACTATATATATAATGTATAGTAGATAAACCCCAATAAACTGGCATCTCTCTAAACTGCAATCCGGCAGCGAAATCAAGTCCCAAAGTGTTCCACTTTAAGTTGGAAATTTGTCAGACCTGAACCAATTTATTGAGATTTACGTCCTACTTTTCTGCACCATGTGGGCAGGGTACAATGAGGGAAATTTTGCCTGGACAGCGATATTTCGATTTCCAACTGTCACAATAATTCTGTTATTAGGATTATCCAGACACAAAAGGTATTTTCATTTGCCTCGAAGCGAAACTGAAATTATTTCATGATTCTGTACCATTTGAGAACTTTAAGGGAATATTCCTTAGGTCATATAAACATGTATGAAAGCACCATTAATTAGTATTTTATTGAGTTGGTACTATTTTACTCTTTCAAGGGTGATTACAAGATTATAAGATAGAAAATTACTAAATGTAATAGATATTTTTTATTTTAATTTCAGTGAATGTTATAATAAATTTGGTGATTCTGTGGGGCTACAGATATGGGATGCTATAAATGACTGTTTTGATGCAATGCCAATAGCAGCTACTGTAGATGACAAGGTAATTCTTAAACCTTATCTGATGAAGATTGTCCATTTATGACAAAACAAAAATAACTACCGGTATGTAGAATGAAATGAGATGCAATAAATAAGTATGTATGGGAGCAGATTTACAACACAAGTAGTGTTCTTACTTAATACTGAACAGAAAATCAAATGCACCTGATCACGAAAATCTGAAGGTCAAGGCTATCTCAAAGATGCAATCAAAGCCAGATGGTTATTCCTTAAACATTTGTAATATATTTGTTTGAAAATGACCGAAATCATTGATAGCAATATATCATATGTATATGAATATTTGTAGGTATTTTGTGTGCATGGTGGAATCCCCAGTACTCTTACTCATGGTGGTTTTATAGAAGCTATAAATAAAGTTCCTGTACCATTACCAGACCCAGAGAAACAGAGTACTATGGCTTGGGAAATATTATGGAGTGATCCAATTGGGTAAGTGGAATAACAGATGTATTTCATGTCATCAAAACTAATATCACTTATATTTCGTCAGGAAAAGTCAAACCTTGCATGATATGATACCTAAAAATGGCTATTTACACCAGTTTTTTGAGTGCCTACTAGGACCACTTTAAAATGAAAGCAAGTATTCACTCTCCAAAAAAAAAGGTAGAAAAGGTCCACAAAGAGTCAAAATGGCTGACAAGAATAATTATTTGCATATGTGCAGAAGATTTTGTAGTCTAGGTCAGGCATGCTTTTCCATTTAAACTCTTCAGTGGAACGGTCAGGTCTGGACCAAGACCTTTGCTTTTTAGAAAATCAAATTCAGAGTTAGAAATAGGCCTACATCTTTTTAGCTATGTAGAATTGAATTACTAATTCAGACTGTTAAAGATGCAGCATTATATGTCAGCTTTTTATTTTTAGATTGGACCAAATGACACCAGAAGTTATAGATGAATTAAAAGAAAATGAAGGTTTTGTATTTAATACCAGAAGAGGAACAGCTAATTTTTTCAGTTGTGATGCATTGTTCCAGTTTTTAGAAAGAAATGGTTTATCACATGTTATTAGAGCTCATGAAGTTCAAGAGGCGGGGTTTCAGGTAAGAATTCACAATTTACAGTGGTCATAAAATGGAGATTCAAGTTTTGGTTTTGCTGTAACCTAAGGTCCAAATTTTGTTCAGAAGTTGAAACCACTGTTAAAAATGGTTTGTTAACAGAAGTCAATATTTTACGCTGAATATCCAACAATTCCTCCTATAAGTAAAGAAATCCTTGTTGTAAACATAACATGTTTTGATTGGTTGAATATTAGATAACCCAGAACAATAGATGCAAAACAACTTGTAAGATCATGGATTGCATGTGAAGTCACTCACAGAATAAAAAAGAAATATCCTGATTTGCATTTTAATCATAATAACATTGTCTTTATTTGTTCAAAGTGGCACAGAGAAGAATGGCTAAGAACTTCCAATGCACTTAAATGTTTCATTATTTTCTATTAAGGTACAACAACAAGGAAAATTACTAACTGTATTTTCATCTTCCAAATATTGTGGTGGAGCCAATGAGGCTGCTTGTGTTTTAGCTGATAATTTTAAACTGAGAATGATTCGTATTGATACATCCTGAATCTAGCTGCTCAATAATCTGTGCCTACCTGTATTTAGATCTGGTGTTATTGTTATCTGAATGTTCAGGTATCATTTAGTGACTTGGTGACTTAATGTCAGGATGGTTGAAGTGACTTTTGCTTCAAGTAAGAAATCTGCAGCAGACATAATACATACCATAAAAGAATTTTCCTGTGAAAAAATTCAAAAAATTCAAATAGAATTTTTTCTTAAATTTGATTTTGCAGCAAATTTTGATTTAAAGATTTTGGAGAAATTGGTGCCAGAACAAATGTTAATGATATTTATACCAAAGAACAAGATATTTTGTTATGAATTCCAAGCTTGAATTGTTTGTTATATTACAGATTTATTTTACATTGCTGTTACCATTATGTATGATTCTATTTTCAAAATCATTTTACATTCTGTTCAAATTGTTGTTGATGTATATTTGGAAATTTGATAGTTATATGTATGGCAAATTGACAGTCAAGCAGTTAAAGGAACGGGTTCACCATCCATTGATCAAACATACCTTAGTGTCAGAAGCGATAATTTGTAGCTAAGCCAATCAGAAATAGTTTTCACAACTCACCATCAAGACATATATAGATATAGAAAGTGAAATTGCTAGTGTGAAATATTTTTGAAGGAATTATGTGATTTCCGTACATTTTTAGTAACTCTGAAGACTATTTATATATATTCAAGTCTCAAATCAACTCCAGAAAATGCCAAACCATAGCTTTTGAAATGTTAACTTCTGCTGTTTTTAGATTCCATCTCTTTCCCCCAATATTATCTAGAACTGCCTTATCAGATTGTTTCAGTTATATACTATAAATATAATATGTATACATTATGTGTAAACAATATCAATATATTTCTATACGGACTTAGTGAAGGGTAAAACTGATCGCGATACGTATCGCCATACAAAACATATTGCTATATAGGGTAATGGAATAAAAGTTTTAATATTTATTACTTTATAAGTACTGTAATATTTGATATTGTAGTTGAAAGGAGTAGATATTGTATAACATCTTATAAGTTTTTACCATCAATTTCAGTCAAGTCAGTGAGAAAAATTTGTAATTCCATCACCAAAAAAAACATAATTTTTAATGGAATAAAAGTATCTTCAAGTATCGATACAAGACCTCATGATACGATACGCGTATTGAGGTATGTCATATCGCGATACATCGATTCACCAATATATCCCACCAGCACTACTTTGTTGTACAGGAAACAGAGGAGTGGGTGTAAAATATCTTTTCTGTGTCTTTTATCTTAAGTATTAAAATGAATTCAAGAATGAAATACTTCCAATTTATTATATCGAATAAGGCTCATTGACAAATAGAATGAAAATATATCATTTCATTGTCACAAATGTTACTGCTGTATTAGTTTATAAATTTATATTTTCATGGTTATTAATTCATTTAATGTTTAATATTTACATTTTATTCCATATTGCAAAAAATGATTAAAAACCAAATGTTTAGAAAAATGTTTATGCATTTGTGATAAGTTTTTTTTTAGTGTAATGGAAACTTGAGAACATATTTGCCTTATTTTTTTTTGAAACAACTACTCTCAATAAGGAGATTTGAATGATATATACAAGTACATTACAAATTTATCATCGAGGACACAGTCCATGGTTCAATCTCAATATAGATCAAGAAACTCTTTTGAATTTTTCAACCCGGTTTACTCCCATCTGTGATGTATCATGGGAAAACAACTAGTAATTTGAATGGGACAATGTACCAAGGACTGAAATTTGCTGCCATCAGCTTCCTATATTCTACTTTCTAGAATTATATCTTTGAGTTGTCTTCAGTTATTAGTCTGTCAATTTGCTGATGTCAACTACAACAGAGCCAATGAGATGCTTTGAACAGTAAGATTGAAACATCTGCCTCTATTCCACCCTATGATAGCTATTTTGACAACTTCTGACTCTATTCCAGACTCAGATAGCTATTTTGACAGCCTCTGCCTCTGATAGCTATTTTGACAACTTCAGCCTCTGATATCTATTTTGCTTGCTGGTGTAGTCAATAACTGTCAAAATAGCTATCAGAGGCTGCTACCCATCTGCCCCGCCACTGGCCACAAAGAATTATATTCTTGTCATCCTATGTCAAGTGTGCCTGTGTCTTAATTAGAAACTTTTCTACAAATGATGCTTGAAGGATTATTACTGGGAAAGAAATTGGCTCATAAAAAAATAGTGCTGTATCATGATATAAATGAAATCTGACTTGACACATTTGACAAATCAAGATGTACATTAATGTACATTTATTTACATATATATCATTGTAAATAATTATTAAAATCCAAATTAAATTCAAAATGTATCCAATTATTTTAAATAGTTTATGCTAATTATTCCAACTTGAAGCTACATTGGTTAAATGATATTAAAGGGACAGTTACGCCATTCTTTTTTGACCAGTCTCAGAAACGGGAATTTTTTAGCTAAGCCACTCAGTGTTTACAGCTCACCACCAAAATTTGAGCCTCCAAATCCATGTGTGTGTAGAATTATCCACGTTTGAATGTTAAAATGATCACCCGTCATTTTAAAATACTAAAAGACATATATAGAAATAGTGAGTAAAATTCCTAGTTTGAGATATTTTTGAAGGAATTATTTGATTTTCGTACATGTCTAGTACTTCTGAAGACTATTTACATATTTTCAAGACTAAAATCAACCTCTCCAAAATGGCGAATCTGTCCCTTTATGTTATAGAATTGTACAAAGAATGGTTCTTTAAAATATTCAATGTCTTTTCTATTCATCTATTCTGCATATTTTTCACTTTTATACCTAAATATTGTATTCATTGTTCATTCCACATTTTATGACTGATAACACATGTTTGGGAAATAAGACTCATCATCAGGAAAGCTGAATTATTGTACACCTCTGGTAATATGATTAAGTATTCAAACATTGTATGTTACATAATATATCGGTAGACATTTTATGTAGGTTCCACATACATGTAGCCTACATGATGTAGGTGAACATTTATGCTTGTATGTAAGTAATTAAGTATTTTACTTATATATTACTTATGAATATTTAAGTATTCTATATAACCTGATCATTTAAATGTTGTATGTTACATTAATATTTAAGTATTTGTATGTTACATTAATATTTAAGTAGTCTATACAAACTGATTACTTAAGTATTGTGTGTTACATTAATATTTAAGTATTGTATGTGCATTAATATTTAAGTATTCTATACAAACTGATTATTTAAGTTCTATGTTACAGTAATATTTAAGTATTGTAAGTTACATTAATATTTATGTATTCTATACAAACTGATTATTTAATTTCTATGTTACATTAATATTTAAGTATTGTATGTTACATTAATATTTAAGTATTTGTATGTTACATTAATATTTAAGTAGTCTATACAAACTGATTAATTAAGTATTGTGTGTTACATTAATATTTAAGTATTGTATGTGCATTAATATTTAAGTATTCTATACAAACTGATTATTTAAGTTCTATGTTACAGTAATATTTAAGTATTGTAAGTTACATTAATATTTAAGAATACTATACAAACTGATTATTTAATTTCTATGTTACATTAATATTTAAGTATTGTATGTTACATTAATATTTAAGTATTCTATGTAACCTTATTATATAAATATTGTATGTTACATGAATATTTAAGCATTGTATGTTACATTTATATTTAAGTATTCAAGGAAACCTTATTTAAATTATCTAATTTCTATGTTACATTAATATTTAAGTATTGTATGTAACATTGATATTTAAGTATTGTATGTTACATTAATATTTAAACATTGCATGTTACATTACTATTTAAGTATTTTGATATTTAAGGAAAAGGTTATAAACATCTAAGGATCCATTGAATTCTGTGGGATTAAGTGACATATTAATGCTATTTAATTATTAATAGCTTTAAAACGTATGAAATTGAAGGGATTATCAAAGGTTACTGATGGAATTATCTATAATGTTACTGTTTTAATAAGTTGTTACAGATGTTAATATTGTTACATTTGTCAGATCATGTTTTGTTTATCAGCTGCTTCATCTTTTTGACTCATTAAAATATTTCATTTCATTCATTAGTTATTAGCAAGATTCTGGTATAGATCAAGGTGCTGACTATATTCCTGTCAGTGATGCAGGACAAAGGGGCTGATATGGAAAAATCGTCCTTTTAGTTAAGATGGGACAATAAACTGAGACCCTGGCTTCTACAGAGTGTCCACATTAAATATCCATCACAAGTTAAAAATAAATCACGAGTAGGCTAATGTGGGTGTTCCAATAAATTCCCTTCATTGAACACTGCATCATGTAGAAAACCAATTTGACTACAATAATTTGAAAAAAAAAGTTTTGGGTTAGTTTTTGTTTTATTTTTGAGACAATGTGGGAATGGAAACGTGGTGCTCCAATAATACATTAACAATTCATCATTTTAAAAATGTCAACATGAAAATTACAATAAAATCATTTTAAAAGGTTGTCCCAATCCACTAAAAAAAATTGTATGTTCAAGACTTCAAAAGTGACTTTGTCAATAGAAATATCTTCCAAACTAAAAATAAGATAAGAAATTTTAAAAACGCATAATGATACTAAATTTCATTAAAATCTGATATGGGCCTACATTGCTCAAGGAAAGAAGATTATTATCCAAGAAGACAGTGTATATTCATTGACTATGGAATGACACCAGAATATGTGGAGATAAAGATAAAATAGAAATAAATAATTCAGAATACATCTTGAGAAAATTTTGATGAAAATGATAATCTACTAAGTTATTAATCAGACAGATATATCAAACAGATCTTGCAAAATAAATAAATTCAACTGTATGTTATTGATCTTGGAATGTCTTCAATCCATTGAAAACTATAAGATTTCATTAATTCTGCTTTAATAACAAACAAATCCTGTCCCTGACATTTC